AAATAATTAATTATATAAATATTATTCATAAAATTTCTGCCTTCAGTATGTTGCCAAATGATGAGATCATTCAGATTTCAAGTGAACATATTTAAAAAATCTGAGAAAAACTGAATACAGTTCTTGCAAGACAGGCATCTAAAGATATTTTAATGCAGCACAGATTCCGCAGGAATGAGGTTCACTAATTAGTCATAATCATTTTATATAGCTATTTAGTACGTGAGTCAGATTACTTCAGTAACTGCTCAGACTGATTAGTAGAGTAAGTGTTTGGAAGAATGCAGCTGTCCAAGAATTGTTAACAGAAAAAACAGAATAAGAACTGTTCGTGATTCGCCAACCCTACAAATGAAATCTATACTAATGCATGAAAAAACATCTACAATAATCACACAAACAGAACGAGCTGAGCCTTCATACGAATCAGGAAGTCAAAACAGCATTATGTCAAATTCATCCAAAACTCAAAACACACATAGAAACAGGAGAGAAATAGCTGGGCTTTCTGCAAAAACAGCTGTATCATTTTTATTCAATAACCATGGTTTTTGGAAAAACAATGAATACAGTACGGAAAAGGTATGAAACACCTGTTGCAATATGACAGGAAACACACACAAGTCAAGTCAAGTCAAGTCACCTTTATTTATATAGCGCTTTTAACAATACAGATTGTGTCAAAGCAACTGAACAGCATTAATTAGGAAAATAGTGTCAATAATGCAAAATGACAAAAGTAAACACAAATTTTTCAGTTAAAGACAGTTCATCATTGAATTCAGTGATGTCAACATCCAGCTCACACACACACACACACACACACATACACACACACAGTGAAAGTGGGTCACAGTCTGGGAGGAGAGAGTTGAGTCAGAACCTGAGTGGACTCCAAAACTGTCCAATTGGATTAGGGCACAATGACCAGCAACTGTACACTTAAACACACACACACACACACACACTATGAGACAGAAACATTCCCTTCCCATCTGAAAAGGTAATTTTGTGTTTTACTGACTTCACAATATGTGCTCACTGCAAAACAATAATCCACTTGTCCATAATTACTATAATTTGAGAGCATTTCTCTCTCATTCCCACATGCACACAAACACACACACACAATCCTTTCAATCATGACCAGTATAATCTGATTCAGGAACAAATGACTCTTTTGAATCAGTCAACAACAAAAAAAAAACTCACAAACTGAAAAAAACTGGTCTGGATGACAACATGTAGTTGAAGATAAACATGAACAAACAAGCTTTATTACTATTATGATAAATGATATCCCAATGAAATACTTAAAAACATTCAAATATTGTAGCATCAGCAACACACACACAATCATTTCGGTTATGAGCAGTGTAATGTGATTCACAAACAAACAACCCTTATGAATCAAAGATCAAAAATTCATCCATTTGAATCACTCTTGATGATTAGTAGTCGAAGATAAACATTAACAAAAAGGCTTTATTATTATTATTATTACAATAATTATATTTTTTTCTATGAATCAGTCAAAAAGATTTACAAAGTCACAAGTTAGAAATATAATATCAATATTATATAATATATAAATGAATAAATAATATAAATAAATAAGTAATATACTGTATATGTAAAGATAAAAAACATATATAAAAAATTCACTATTATTAATTATATAAGTCTGTTATATTTTTAAATGTACTATACTTATAAATTTATATTTAAAATATTTATATAAATATATACACAGTATACATACCATGCCACACACACACACATTAACAAAGTGGCTTAATTACAATAAATGTTATTTTAATGAAATAATTTTTAAAAAACATGAAAATATTCCGGCATAATTCCCATGATGCACTGCCGTGTTTCTTGTTAATTCATGTTATTAGAGTGTTTATAACAGCAGTTGTTTTTGTCTTATTCAGTGATTTTCAATTGATGTGATCATTTTAGTTTCTTTTGAGGGTTAAAAGTTGTTCCACTCATCCTATGTGTGCAACTGAATGAATAAAGCATTATTCAAAAGCTGACATTGCATCATCACTGCAAAAATAGCATTGTTTCGTTCCATTTGCAAATGTGCAGGAAGCGCCGCACTGATTTATTATACCAGTCAGATTCATATATCAGCCTAATCGGTGACTCTTCCTTGTTATACACGCACAAATACACATTTTTCCCACAGCGATCCACGGAAACTTGTACAAGCAGGTGGAGAAAATGTGGGCAAAGTGAGTGTGAACTCAGGAAGATGAATGTCTGGAACTGACAAAAGTTTAGAGTCAAACGTGAAGAGACTAGCGCCCACACATACACATTATCTAATGGAAGAGATTTAAATCATCACGTGAAAACAGAGAGCGAGAGCGAGAGAGAGAGAGAGAGACAGCCGCACAGAAGGCTCTCCAGGCTGTGTGGAGCGGCCAGACAGAATCAGCACAGCAAACACAAGAGCCACAGAGAATACCGCAAAACAAAACGCTTCTGGAGTCAAGCAAACAGCAGAACATAGAGCTCTAGAGGATGCACTGCATAACAGAGACATAACTTGCATAACTTTTCTTTTACTTAGAGGAACTTTGGTGCAGGGTAACATGCTTGAAGTTTTGATTTCAGCAAAATATGTTTAGCAAAGAAGCATTAAATTGATCAAAAGTGAAAGACATTTATACTATTACAAAATGTTCTATTTCAAATAAATGCTGTTCTTTTGAACTTTATTTTACAACAATTACTTTAGTAGCCATATAACTTAACATAGTAAATCCAGGAGACATTTTAATTTAATAAAAATAACTAATTGTTTTAATGAGACAGATGGACCTGAATTCTCACTGTGTATTATGAGTCACAGATGATCTTTATAAATAAATTAATCTTTTTTATTAAATCATAATTTTTTTTGTAATTAGGCATGCAAGTGCGTGCAAATGTAATTATTAATTTATGGCATTTACAGAAATGCATGTAAGGTGAAATTACATTTTTATGAAAATAAATATATTATTTAAAAAATTCATACTTTTACTCAGCGATTGAAAAGTGACATTAAAGACATTTATGTTACAGATTTCTATTTCAAATAAATGTTGTTTTGAACTTTTTTGTCGATCACAAAATCCTGGTTTCCACAAAAATATGAAGCACAACTGTTTTCATATTTGATAATAATAAGAAATGTTCTTGAGCAACAAATCAGCATATTAGAATGATTTCTGAAGGATCATGTGACACTGAGACTGGAGTAATGATGCTGAAAATTCAGCTTTGCTCCACAGCAATAAATTCCATTTTAAAATATTTTAAAATACAAAACAGCTATTTGAAATTGTAATAACATTTCACAATATTCCTGTTTTTACTGTATTTTTGATCAAATAAATGCAGCCCTGGTGAGCAGAAGAGACTTCTTTCAACAACAAAAAAACAGTGTAACATCTTTCCTGGTTTCATTCCCTGTTTTTGTTCTCTTTGTCACTCGTGACATTTTCCTAAGGCTTTACTGTAGAAACAATGACTGTAGTCATTTCTCGTTGGCTGTTGCTCTGGATTGTTTGCCAGTGAAAACATGTGTTTGGACTTGACACCAGATTCAGATCCAAAATCCAGAGTCTCCTAAATCCACACACATGTCAAACCTTTCAAACCGGCCCAAAACACACACACAGACAGACAAATCTACTGTTCTTAATGTAAACTAAATATAATCACCCAGCGCTAATTTTAGCACACACTCTTATCCGAAGCAAATTACCAGACATCTGTTGACAAATAAGCTTTTGATTATCATTTCACCACTATTTCATAACATCAAACACATTCAGATGAGCCCTAACCTTAAAATAAAACTTTTAGCAGTTCGAGACGATACATAGTCCTTTATAAATCAGGTCTGTAAAATGATCCCTTGGACTTTCTGCATCACTCCAGATTTGAACATACAATATTTCTGTTCGCATAGCGTGCAAGGAGAAGAGCAGCAGAACAGGCAAGAGAAAAGCAAAAACAGAAGAAGCGCAAGAGACACAGAGGTGTACAGAGACGACAGATCTATTCTGGGATTTCTGAGAGAAATGATTCACATTAATGTGGGACAGAGAGAGGGAGAGAGAGAATAATAGACATTGCATTGTCAGCAACTTTGAAATATGAGTGTCTTTTTCGCCAAAAGCTCCCCACATCTCTCTCTGGAGTCCGAACTAACTGTTTCAACAGCTGCCTGTGGTGACGTGCACATCCAAAACACTGTAAATGCACATGCACACACACACACACATTTCAATGTTTCAAAAAAACACGACCTTTTTCTAAATTAGTGTCACATGGCTGTAATCAACAGAAGGGGGCGACAGATGGCATTGCTGCAAATGAGTAAAAATGGAGGAACTATCCCACACTTTTCTGGTAGGGAGCCCAGAGTACAACTAGTTCCCTTCAGCACTCGAAAACATCTCGATTCCTCGTTCTGTCCTGCCATATTTCATTTCACCACAAATGCAACATGTTCACACACACATGTGCACGTACTGCACACACACACTGGATGAATCTCATGAAAACATGTCTGAGTCATATTACAGCCCAAAATCACATGTGTATAATTAATCAACTGATAGTATCATTATATTATTTGTCTTACTATATATATCTATTCAATTAATATAACAATTATAAAAAATATAAAATTATAAATATATCATACTCTAAATATACAGTATAAATTATAAGGATTATAATGCATAATATTATTAACATACATATACGTATACACACACATATTGTTATTATTATCATTATTATATAGGTAAATTAGGGATGTTCATTTCGGTTATTTTCCTAACCGACAACCGACGCTCGTTAACCGATTATTAACCGTTAACCGACAAGATTATTTTAAATTAGAATTAAAATAAATTAGAAAGCATAAGTGTCTGTGAACCGTTAAAAATACTAACATTTGTTTCCCGGGGATTAATTTTACATGCGCAAAAAGCAGCAAACAACAGAACATGATGATTCACATGGTCTTCATATCACGCACCTGCAGCGCTTCTGCGAGCGGAGAAAAACATCATAAAGCTACACTATATATAAATATATAAAGAATATATTAATATAATAATAATAATAATAATAAATAGGCCTATACGAGAAATATATTTTTACTTAAATAAATTGTGCAACAAGTAGCCTAGTATGCAGAGTTTCGGTTCATTTTTGTGCTGCGCGAAAGGAAACCAGACGGCAGAAAGCGGCGTCCTGTTTTTCTTTAGGCTTAATTTTACAAAAGCACAAAGATTTGTTTTTATTACACAAGTACACAAATAAAAGCAAGCCTTTTACAATTTTGATTATCTTTATGACTTAAAGGAGTAGTTTCTTCCACTGTTAGAAGGAAAACATTCAAGTGATTGCGCCGGCGCAGCATGCGCGCACACAGTTAAGCATTGCTACCTTGACAATGCAGCCTGTTCATTGTCATAATAAAATACAGTCAGTCAAACATATGGAAAAAAACCCACTGCTCAGTTCAAATACGTATTAAAATCTGTGCCGTTAAGTGTTATCACGTACCGCCGTGATGTTATACAAAACACTTTGTTTTACGTGGATATTGGAATGCCAGTGAAGTAGGCAACATAATAAATAATAATTTGGCATTCAAATACATCGCGAATACGGAAACATTTGATTTTGAGTCAAATGAGAGACCCAACGTTGGTTTCAGTTTCGTTTTAGCCTAAATGAATTCGTTTTGGCTTGTCGTTTACATAGCTATAGCTTCTTATATTTTTAATTATTGTTCTTTTCTAAATATTGTTCATTGAAAGTATTGGTTGTGGAGTGAGGGGAACTAAAATAGCCTAGCTATGTTTACAGTGTTTATTATAATGTCTGTGAACATTTCACGTCGGCCTATTTCTGAAAGAAATAATAAAATGCGACTTATACTCGACTTGCGTTTTTTTCTTCTAAAAAGCTATTTTTTTTTATATACGCGTAGCATATTTTAACCATGCATCAAACCTTTTTAAATATGTTGATAAATTACTGGGAAAAAAAATTTATAAATGACTTTTTAAACCTGTAACGGGGCTGACGAGACGTGAGACGTGTGGATCCATCTGCAGGCTTTATTGAAGAGACGTAGTACACAGGCAGGGTCAAAACAATGGCAAACAGGTATATGGCGGGCAAAACACAAGAATAGTCCTAGGGCTAGCATAGGTCACCGATCAGCAGACAGAATCAAAGGAGCGAGACGAGAGGGAGAAATCTAAGGAAACAGGCAAAGATCAAAAACCGCAAAAACAGGCAAGGCAAGGCAAAACAAGGGAGACTCGGAAAGGGGTGCAGGCTAAACAATACTCAGCAGAGAAATGTGGTTAGAATGGGTGTTATATAGTGAATGAAGTAATTAGAAACAGCTGTGTGCAATGAGTGCAATCAGGGCAGTGTGCAAATTGTGCAAAGAATGATGGGAAATGTAGTCCGGGGTGCTATGGAACAGTTTGTGTAGTGCGAGAGTCAATGAAATGGAAAGGGTGACCTCTGGTGGTGAATAAACAGAAGTCCATGGACTGAATTCGTGACAAAACCGTTTAACTGATTGTATTAATCGGTCAAAAATTATTACGGTCGTTTAACGGTTAACCGGTCAAAATGAACATCCCTAAGGTAAATAATAAAAAATATATAATAATAATAATACATATGTAAATAAAAATAATAATTGATAATATAATAATATAAATTAATAAAAAATATATAAAGTAATAATATTAATGGCAGTGTTTTGAGTTTTTGTGTAATTCTGTAAATTATCATAAAAAATGTAGACACAATATAAAATATCTTAATAGCCCTTAAAAACTGTGAATTCCGACTGATTTTGTAGGTAAATATGACCCAGACATGTTCTTGACAGTTTGTGTTAGATTCACCCACACAAACACACTCTATCCGGTCTAACTGGAGTTTCAAAGCTTGAGGTCTTGTACTTATTAGGTTTGTTTAAAAATGACATCATTGCAGCTGCTTATGACCTCATCAGCCCAAGACACGGGAAATAGGCCACATGTGATCCGCATCAGAACATGGACTCGTGCTGTGGGAGAAATTGCAAAAGATTTTAACAAAGCAGCATGAAACGCTCCACAAGAGCGACTGAATATCTGGGCAAACTTGAGACCACAAATGCCGCATGCAGACGCTCACACGTGTGACGGTGTTCACAAACACACACACATCCAGGCAGCATCTGGACATTCTCAAGAGTTAAAAAAAAAACAACCACAGAAACCAAACCATCCAATGACATGAACACACACACACACACACACACAGTGGCAGCGTCTGGAGACCTTTAAGATCATTGCCAAAAGCAACAGGCATGTCTACCACTGCATTTTCCCTGCGTTCCTTTTGTCCACCAACCCTCCGTCAGCATTCGCTCCTTCATTTCTCCTTTTCTCCATCACTCACCTCCACTTTCACTTCTCCATTTAATTATAATGGAGTCTCTGACCCTACAGCAAAAGTTTCTTGGTCTTTTATGTTCAGCTTCTTCAACTGCAGCACTCAATGATGGATTATTCAGACTGTGTTTTCACTAGGAACCATTATAACGTTTAATATGGAATACTGGGAAACTACTGAACCAAAACATCTGTGCAATGTTTCTTTAATGTTCTCCCTCATCCGGGCTTTTTTATCCTATTTACATACAAATATTGCATATTTAAATGTTCGATTTGTCATTCAAGCAACACCAAACAGAACTGCAAAACTTGTAGACAAATATAGTTATTGTAAATAAATAAATAGTTCAAAGGTTCGGAGTCAGTGAGAATTTAATATTTTTCAAATAGGTTTCTAAGGCTGCATTTATTTAATAAAAAATACAGTAATACTGTAAAATATTACTACAATTTAAAAGAACTGTTTTTATTTGAATATGTTTTAAAATGCAATTTATTGCTGTGATGCAAAGCTGAATTTTCAGCATCATTATTCCAGTCTTCAGTGTCACATGATCTTCAGAAATCATTCTAATATGCTGATTTGCTGCTCAAGAAACATTTCTTATTACTATTAATGTTGAAAACAGTTGTGCTGTTTAATATGTTTGTGGAAAAAAAAAATCAGGATTCTTTGATAAAAAGAAAGTTTAAAATACCAGCATTTATTTGAAAGAAATATTTTGCAACAATATCTTTACTGTCCTTTTGATCAATTTAATGCATTCTTAATGAATAAAAGTATTACTTTTTTTTTTTAAACCTTTGAACAGTCATCTATACAGGAAAAATAATAACCAATCATATCACAGCCTAACACATTTCAACCAATAAAATCCTGACTCAAATAATCAAGTCCCACCCCCTTTATTTTCTACACAATATTTGGTTCCACTCAGAAACATTACACAATGCATCACATTATAGAAGTTAAATATCTAGAGATTGTAATCTCATGTCTTTATGTCAACTCTCTCTTTAAAAGTGAAACTCTAAACATTAAGCATTTCTTTCTTTAAATATCTTTCTTCCTCTCTCATTTTCTACTTCAGTCAAGAGAGAGAGAATGATGAAACAGATCAAGCAGACGGTGCAATGAGTGACGTGTGAATCATGCTGATTTCAACCACACTTCTGTAGGATCTGTACCTCAGAGGGAGAGATTCTCCCAAACACACACACACACACACACACACACACACACTTGTGCTGACCTGTACATGTGCTGTGGAAACCCCCCTCAATGATGTCAGTAGACATGAGCCACAAACTCCTCATCCTGACCAGAACTTTCCACAAAAACATCACCTTTGCCTCTATGTGTGTGAGATATTTATGCACTGTTAAATATGAAGCAAACTTTTCCATCTGACAAACCTAAAACTGATAACAGTGTGATGCTGCAGGAGACTGAAGATAAACATCTGCCTTGCTGTCTACTGTCTACATGTGTGTATTTGGAACTCTCTACAAGTGTAAAATCTCACTATACAAATACACTGTAAAAATTATTGAATTCCAAAGTTTATTGGAGTACTTATTTATTTAAAGGTATAGTTCACCCAAAAATGAAAATTGCCCCATGATTTACTAGTTACTTCAATAGTCCAAAAGAAGTCCAATAAAGTGCATCGATCCATCATAAATAGTGTCCCACACTGCTCCGGGGGGTGAATAAAGGCATCCTGATGCGAATCGATGCGTTTGTGTAAGAAAAATATCCATATTTAAAATTTTATAAACCGTAATCTCTAGCTTCTGCTAACTGTCGTACGTGCGTTCACAATAGTTCACAACAGTAAAAATAACACCCATTCACTGCCATTATAAAGCTTGGAAGTGCCAGGATATTTTTTTAATATAACTCTGATTGCATTTGTCTGAAAGAAGAAAGTCATATACACCTAGGATGGCTTGAGGGTGAGTAAATCAAGGGGTAATTTTCATTTTTGGGTGAACTATACCTTTAAATAAATATTTTGGAGTGCTTCTTTCAAGTAATATGAAGTTTACTTATTTAAGAAAATATTATTTTCAGTTTTTCTACTTCAAAAGGTCACATTTAATCTAATGTTTCACTCAACTGGTTCCGATAGAGTTTCATGTTAGCCTGATGGTAGCATAAAATAGAAGCATAAAAACACAAATATTGGGTGCATTTTAATTAAACAGAACTATTTATATCAACATTGTCCATTACCACATACAAATTAAGTATATTTATAGTCAAAATATCTCTCATCTGCCATCGTTGAGTTCATCCCAATGCATTCTGGGACTGTCTTCTATTAAGTATACATGCTGTTGTTGATTTCAGCCAGAATGAGACATCTTAGAAGACAGCACCATTTTGCACCCTAAAAAGTGAGACTATGATGCAAAAAAAACGTTGTTTAGGCAGCTCACAGGCTCACAAACATGCAGTATTTTCTATCATATTTTAAGAAACAATTAGAAAAAAATTTTATGCACACCTAAATTAACCCAATATTGCTCAACAGATCTGCTTCATGCAGATAACACACTCTTCTTGTCTGTTTTCTCTATGATTTTGAGATTCCCTCTTATTCCCCTGTCTTTCGTCTCTTCTCTCTGTTTATCTTACAGGTCCATAGTGAAATGTGTCAGCATTTAAGAGAATTGAATTACATGTGCAGGCTCTGAAATGAAATATGATTTTGCTGTGTGTATACGGCAGGGGTTTGGGTCTATCTATATATCTATCTATCCATCCATTCATCCATCCATCCAAAGTTTTCCATATATATATGTATTATTTAAGTGTTTCTGCAGTGTTTATGTGGTTACACAGGGTGTCACACCTGTGTCTGCTCACCTGTGCAGGTGTTGGCTTCACACCGTGTGACAGATTAAATGTCGCACATCAAAGCTAATAATGAAAACCAGACACACTAAACCCTAACCAGACATTACGTAACCGGCCCTGCAGTTTCCAGTGTCAAGAAAATAGTGACAAACTCACACAACATATTTCATATTTATTACACAGCTTGTGGTGTGTCTTACTTTCCGTCCGCCAAGTTGACCCCTCTGAAGAGCGGGTAGTCCTCCGGGCCGGGTTTGCCCAGGTGATCCTCGTACAGGAAGACAGGAGAGCGTCCCACCTCCAGACCGAGCTGCTGGATGCCCTGTTCGTTATACACCGACAGCAGGAAGGACTGACTGCCTTTTTTAGGCCTCACCGTCGCCAAGATGGAAAAGTCCTCAGGAAACACGGATGCTAAAGAGGGACAGGGTGTTATTTTTGGAAATCAAAAGTGTTTTGGGGAGGGGTTCTATGAGCAGACAGATGCTGTCAGGTAACAAAGATAAAGTGTATTACATGGATAAGAGCAGAATGGAAAACGGTTGGATCTCTGGCACATCTTTGGAAAACACTGTAACAATGTGTGTGTGTGTGTGTGTGTGTGTGTGTGTGTGTGTGTTGATAAGAGTCTTGAATATACTGGGTAATGAGGAGAACAGCTGTTCCCTAAGAGACATTTTATTACTCTAATGCATCTAGCAGAGAGAGGTGAAGAGAACAAGCACGGAGAGAAAATCACAAGTACAAACAGAGAGAAAAACATATGAATATGAACATTCTGTCACTGTTTACTCAACATCATATCATCTCCAAACTATGACTTTTGTTCTTGTAAGGAACATAAAATGTGATGTTTATTGGAATCTCAGAGTTGACTCTTTTCCAAACAATAAAAGTGAATGGGGACTAGAGCTGTTAAGCTCCAAAAATGCCAGAAAAGCATTATAAAAATATCATAAAATTGCTCCACATGATTTGTAAATTATATTCTTCTAGAAGGTTTGGAGTCATTTTAAAGAAATTAACACTTTAATTCAGCAAGGATTAAAGGCATTGATGTTACAATTGATTTCTATTTCAAATAAATGCTGTTATTTTAAACATTCTATTCATCAAAGAATACTGAAAAAAATCACTGTTTCCACAAAAATATTAAGCAGCACAACTGTTTCCAACATTGATAATAATCAGAAATGTTTCTTGAGCAGCAAATCAGCATATTAGAATGATTTCTGAAGGATCATGTGACACTGAAGACTGGAATAATGATGCTGAAAATTCAGCTTTGATCACAGAAATAAATTATATATTCAAATAAATTCAAATAGAAAATAGTTATTTTAAATTGTAATAATATTTCACACTATTACTGGTTTTACTGTATTACAGCAAATATATACAGCCTTGGTGAGCAGAAGAGACTTCTTTCAAAAACATTTAAAAAATCCTACAGACCCAAATGTTTGAATAGTGTATTTAAGACCAAAATGTAATATTTTATTTGCTTAAAGATGCATATTTTCTGTCACTGCCTTTAACCCTGATTTCATATTTGAATCTAATCCTGACAGCAAACAAGACTTAAGAGTTTTATGGTGCTTTTTTGAAGCTTGAGAGCTCCTGATTCCTGTCTGGAAAGGAGCAGCTTTTAGAATGACATTTTTGGGTGAACTGTCCCTTTAAGACTGAACTTTAAGTCCAGTCAAACTTCAAAAAAACAAAGAAAGAGAAGGAAATTTTTTTTAAATTAAACAGTCTCTTTCTAAAACGAGAAAAACAGACATGACTGCTGACGCGCGCGCGCACACACACACACAACATGTGCCAAACAGATGCCCACTGCCAGGACCTCTGGGAAAATCTAGGCTGCTTGGACAGGAAGTGAGTTTTCCAGTCATCCAAAAGACAAAGCATCCATACATCTGTGCAGTAAACACACCTGATGTTTGCTGTAGTGTTTAGTGTGTTTATGCCATTGTGTGGAAACACTTTAATAAACTGCACAGGTTTCGAGTCGTTACTGGACTTCAGTTACATGTTACTAAAAGCTCTCCTCACAGCCTTCCTGGAATCCCGTCTCCATGTCTAACTCCTCCTTTTTCTCCTCTGTTTATGTCTGGAGATATTTTCTGAGTCTTCAGATGTGATTCTGCTCAAGTCACATCATTACAGACAGTCTACATCTCTAAAAACCTCATAAAACACACGTCTCATAATAAAACTAATGAGGTTATTTGAGGTCTGATCTGCACAGATTTCTTAAATGTCTAAAATGATAATAATCTGAGGCGTCCTCTAAAAACAGAGAGTTTCATTTCTGCTTTTGCTTACAGTATGTGCTTAATTTCACACACTGTGTGTATAAATGTCCAGAAATGAAGAGATGGCACCAGCGACCAGACGAACCTCACGATATGTAACGTCTGACTGAAATGGAAATGTTTTAAATCAAAGGGAGGCTTTTATCTAAAAACAAGCTGTGCAGAGAAAACCACTGCCACTGAAAACAACCTAAACTTAAATAACAGTCAATGAGCAAACAGTCAACATTATATTCTGTGTCTAGACATATTCTATTACTGTTTCATAATAATAGACCAGTGACATTTTAGTATTATTTATACACTTGTAGATTTTATTAATCATGTGAACTAGCTTTTATTCTTATATTTTCATATACCGTATAAGTGAAAATTTAATTTAATATTAGTTCAATTTTAAGTAATTTTGCAATTAATTTAGTAATTTTTATGATTGTATAGTTCACTTTAGTGCTTCATAACCAGTGTTGTTATTGTTAACTAAAATAAATAAAGCTGAAATAAAATAAAATATAAATATTACATGAAACATTTAAGCTTATAAAAATGAAATGAAAATGAAAAATGTTGCCTTGGCAACTGACTGAAATAAATCCGTTTAAGTTTAAGTACTAAAATCATTCAAACTGAACTAAAAATTTGTTAAAACTACTAATACTACTAAAAAAACAAATAAAAAATAAAGTACATGAAACAATTTAATCTAAAACTGATGTAAAAATTTAAAAAATCTAACTATAAATAAATACTATAACTATGAAAGCTTGTTTATGCCACAGAATAAAAAAACATAAAAATACTGGTTCAATTCTTTGTGAGATATTCTTTCCCTGCTGTTAAAGAGCTATTCAAAACTAAATATCACCGCTGTGTGAAGTTAAACAATTTTCTGCACCACTTTATGGTTTTGTAAGAGATATTCTAGATCGCTTAATAGATCACAGGGGATGAAGACAGAAAAGAGAAAAGAAGAGTCTGTTTTTCCCATTATCTGTCCTTCATCTCACTCTTGATCTGTCTGTTCCTGGGCATTTCGTGCAGACTTACTCATCCATCAGCCTTCTCCAGAAAACCCTGTGACATGCATGCATATGAGTGTGTGTGTGTGTGTGTGTGTGTTTAAGTAATGAAATTTTACATGACACTTTTATGATTTCATGAGGTTTGCTACATGCTCACACAAGTGTCATGTTCACAAGCAAGCACCAGCTTTACACACACACACAAATACACAAGACAACAAGAGAAGCTCGGTGCTTAAACACAGAACTGAAGGTCAAAGGGCGAAAGCCAAGGGCCATAACTCTGGAGACGAGGTCTGCCTGTCACCAGGGCAATATGAAACAAAACCAGAGTTCAGAGAGGATGTGATATCTACGGTCTCATCTCTCCCTTCCCCTCCAGTCAGAATTAGGTCTTTATGCAGAAACCTAAAGGAATGCTGAGGAATCCCATTACTGCACTCCTGAATCCCTGCACTCTCTACCTGAAGTGATTACACGATCCTCTTTTATAGATCAAACTACTGGTTACGCCTGTAAGTACAACTGAATAGTTATTCATTAGTCTTTAGTTACTACACTGAAAAAAATGGTGTTGATTTTCACTCAGAAATTGCTTGTAAATTTCACAAATAATTACAAAGAAACAGCAAGTAGTGCATTGAATTAAACAGTAGCAAAGTGAAACATTTTGTTTAAAAAAATAATAATAAAAAATAATAAAATAATAAATACTGTGTGTATATATATATATATATATATATAGTACAGACACTTATATTACGTGAACACAAACTTTTATTTTGGACGCGATTAATTGTGATTAATCGATTTGACAGTCCTAATTTATTTATTTCATTAGATTAAAACAAAAAGATCAGCATTAAACATGACATTTTGAAGTAGAAAGACTCAAAATAAAATAAAATAATATTATATATGTAATAAACAAATAGATAAAATAACTAAATACATTCTATATTTACCTTATAAATCATTTAAATTAATTCAATTACATTAAAGCAAGTTTCTTTTTTTAAATCAGAATTAAACATGGTGGAATTTTGAAGTAGAAACTGAAGTCTTCACACCAATCTTTTTTGTCTTATTTACAGCTTTGAAAATAATTTTTTACAGTGTAGCCTAAACTGGTTTCCAGCTTGGCAAAGAGCTCAATACCTCATTAAAACCAGCAGATCAGACCAGTTTGGGAGACCAGTTCATCATGTCTTTCTAGAGGTTTGGCTTTCCCCCATGTTTACAAACCATCACCAGAACTCCAGTGACCTATGACCCTCTCTGTTACCCTGGAGACACGGCACAGAAGGAAGACGTGGCCTTATGAGTATGGATGAGGAGGAGGAGTGAGACAAGAAGAGGAGGAGGAGTTATGAAATGATGAAGAAAAAGAATAGGAACTTCTTGGCCATGAGAGATTTTCTTAGCCAGCTGCATGTGTGTGTGTGTGTGTGTGTGTGTGTGTGTGTGTGTGTGTGTGTGTGTAAAAAATAAATCCTGAGCATCTGAGTGAAAAGTGTACAGAGAGAAAGAACAGATGCATTGTATTTGGAGCGATAGATGATTCATTTCTTCCATATGCTTTCACTCTGCCTGTACGATTCTCAAGCAATCACGCGTGTGTTTACTTAGCTGTACTTAAGGGACAAAATCATCCCTAGAAGTGAGTTAAATCTGACAAAACCTCCCTTCTGAGGACAGCTGGGGACATCCTCAAAGCTAAAAATGATTCAGAAATAGTATGCAAATTTTTTTTAGAATTAAGACAAAAACAAATATGAATAACCATAATCAGCTGAAACCAAATGCAACAGAAGTCAATAGGGCCTTTTGCACCGCGGGAACCTTTTCATAGTACCAGAACTAGTTGTGGAACTACCCCCTTTATGGTGTTTTTTCGCACCACCGGAACTGGGTGCGATTTTAGTACCGGACTGCCTTTTTCGAGAACCAAATTAGCTCCTACTCTGGAGCAGGGTCTAACCAGCCCAACTGGTACTAATCGTGACGTAAGTAGATTAGTTTGATTGGCCAAATGCGTATGAAAACGTTGTGTCAACTTATTTCGCAAGTATGGAGAACAGCGATAGATGGACGGACGCTGAAGTCAGGCACTTGTAGCAAATGTAGCACTGCCAGTTGTTGTTGGAGATTCTTAGTCCTCCTTTCCGTTCTTTCAATCGCTTTACGTATACGTCGACTTTCCATGTCCAATATTGTGAAACTCGCCAGACACAGCAAAAACAGCTCCGATCACAGCGTCCTCCATCCTCCTGTTGTTAATGTTGTTCTTCTTTGTTTCTGTTGTTGAACGCCGCGCACAAATGACGTCGCTGTCGACCGGCTTACGTCACTTCCTAGTACACACTGTCGGTGCGAATGCAACCCTTTAAATAGTACTGGGAAATAGTTTGCGCAAAATTGTCCCAGTACTTTAGTACTGTACATTTAGTTCTGGAACTAAAGTGGTGCGGAAGGCCCTAATGACAAATCAAATCCACTTTAAATAGCTAGGCAAATGTGTAAACATTGGACGTACCATGGGCGTCGCTAATAAATGACTACTCAGCCCCCCTAAAATTTAGCGATTAGCGCGATAAACTGTACACGAATTCGTGATCGCCTCAGTCCCCTTTAAATTTCATATGAAAATGGCGGCAGACTATATATATATATATATATATATATATATTATTAGGCTATTATTATTATTATACCCTCACTGGGGGCTGAGCCCCACTAAAATGAAAATCCTAGAATCGCCCCTGGGACGTACTATACTGAGCTGCCTACTAAGGACTTTTGCATTCATTAATTCCTACGGTTAAATATACCGTTGGATCTTTAATGTTGTGGGCCTGTTTTTCTGCCGGAGGTCCTGGACATTTTGGCATCATGGATTCTATCAAATATCTACAGATAAAAAATCTGACCTTACTGCCTCTGTTAGAAATCTTATAATGGGCCGTGGTTGGATCTTCCATCAGGACAATAATTGTTATGGCCCGTCTAGGGGCCGTACAGAAACTATTCTTAGACATAGGTTTCGTTTGTGAGAGTTTCTTACAATAAAAATAATAGAAAGAAAAGTTTGCGAAAACTTCACATTCCGACAAGGCCAAAGCAATAACCAAAACCCCAATCTCAGCCATCCCTCTATCTAACCTCATCAAAAGAAAAGAAAAAGAAAATACAAAATTATAAGAACATAACTTGCATCGGAACCCTACAACCCAATAAGCTATTATTTACAGGAATTTACAATGAATAAACAAATAACACAAACAAGAAAAATACAATCTCAACACAAGCAAAACCAAAATAAACTATAGACTAGTTGAGGACACTATATATATATATATATATATAGTACAGACACATATATTACGTGAACACAAACTTTTATTTTGGACGCGATTAATTGTGATTAATCGATTTGACAGTCCTAATTTATTTATTTCATTAGATTAAAACAAAAAGATCAGCATTAAACATGACATTTTGAAGTAGAAAGACTCAAAATAAAATAAAATAATATTATATATGTAATAAACAAATAGATAAAATAACTAAATACATTCTATATTTACCTTATAAATCATTTAAATTAATTCAATTACATTAAAGCAAGTTTCTTTTTTTAAATCAGAATTAAACATGGTGGAATTTTGAAGTAGAAACTGAAGTCTTCACACCAATCTTTTTTGTCTTATTTACAGCTTTGAAAATAATTTTTTACAGTGTAGCCTAAACTGGTTTCCAGCTTGGCAAAGAGCTCAATACCTCATTAAAACCAGCAGATCAGACCAGTTTGGGAGACCAGTTCATCATGTCTTTCTAGAGGTTTGGCTTTCCCCCATGTTTACAAACCATCACCAGAACTCCAGTGACCTATGACCCTCTCTGTTACCCTGGAGACACGGCACAGAAGGAAGACGTGGCCTTATGGGTATGGATGAGGAGGAGGAGTGAGACAAGAAGAGGAGGAGGAGTTATGAAATGATGAAGAAAAAGAATAGGAACTTCTTGGCCATGAGAGATTTTCTTAGCCAGCTGCATGTGTGTGTGTGTGTGTGTGTGTGTGTGTGTGTGTGTGTGTGTGTGTGTGTAAAAAGTAAATCCTGAGCATCTGAGTGAAAAGTGTACAGAGAGAAAGAACAGATGCATTGTATTTGGAGCGATAGATGATTCATTTCTTCCATATGCTTTCACTCTGCCTGTACGATTCTCAAGCAATCACGCGTGTGTTTACTTAGCTGTACTTAAGGGACAAAATCATCCCTAGAAGTGAGTTAAATCTGACAAAACCTCCCTTCTGAGGACAGCTGGGGACATCCTCAAAGCTAAAAATGATTCAGAAATAGTATGCAAATTTTTTTTAGAATTAAGACAAAAACAAATATGAATAACCATAATCAGCTGAAACCAAATGCAACAGAAGTCAATAGGGCCTTTTGCACCGCGGGAACCTTTTCATAGTACCAGAACTAGTTGTGGAACTACCCCCTTTATGGTGTTTTTTCGCACCACCGGAACTGGGTGCGATTTTAGTACCGGACTGCCTTTTTCGAGAACCAAATTAGCTCCTACTCTGGAGCAGGGTCTAACCAGCCCAACTGGTACTAATCGTGACGTAAGTAGATTAGTTTGATTGGCCAAATGCGTATGAAAACGTTGTGTCAACTTATTTCGCAAGTATGGAGAACAGCGATAGATGGACGGACGCTGAAGTCAGGCACTTGTAGCAAATGTAGCACTGCCAGTTGTTGTTGGAGATTCTTAGTCCTCCTTTCCGTTCTTTCAATCGCTTTACGTATACGTCGACTTTCCATGTCCAATATTGTGAAACTCGCCAGACACAGCAAAAACAGCTCCGATCACAGCGTCCTCCATCCTCCTGTTGTTAATGTTGTTCTTCTTTGTTTCTGTTGTTGAACGCCGCGCACAAATGACGTCGCTGTCGACCGGCTTACGTCACTTCCTAGTACACACTGTCGGTGCGAATGCAACCCTTTAAATAGTACTGGGAAATAGTTTGCGCAAAATTGTCCCAGTACTTTAGTACTGTACATTTAGTTCTGGAACTAAAGTGGTGCGGAAGGCCCTAATGACAAATCAAATCCACTTTAAATAGCTAGGCAAATGTGTAAACATTGGACGTACCATGGGCGTCGCTAATAAATGACTACTCAGCCCCCCTAAAATTTAGCGATTAGCGCGATAAACTGTACACGAATTCGTGATCGCCTCAGTCCCCTTTAAATTTCATATGAAAATGGCGGCAGACTATATATATATATATATATATATATATATTATTAGGCTATTATTATTATTATACCCTCACTGGGGGCTGAGCCCCACTAAAATGAAAATCCTAGAATCGCCCCTGGGACGTACTATACTGAGCTGCCTACTAAGGACTTTTGCATTCATTAATTCTTCCTACCTGGGTTTTATTATATAAATATATTACATTTAAAAATAAAATAAAAGATTTTTTTACATTTTTCCTTCCTGTTTTATTTTATTTTTATTTTAATGAAATTAAATTAAATAAAATATTACAGTTTAAAAAAAAGTTTTTAAAAAATTATTTTTTAATTGTTTCCTTTCATTTGTTTCAATGTAATTAATTTTATAAATAAATAAAGAAATAAATATATATCTTTATCTTATAATTAATTAAAAATTTAATTACATAAAAATTTTAAACATTCTGCATTGATTAAATATTTCCTTCTCCAGTAAGAAAACTATGGTATAGTGGATTTGATTTTTTGTGGTATCTTAGAAGGCAGTATGTTTTCCTATATGTATATGCTATATATCAGGGGTGGCGAACTCCAGTCCTGGAGAGCCGCAGCCCTGCAGAGTTCAGCTCCAACCCTAATTAAAACTCACCTGCCTGTAGCTTCCTAGTAACCCTTCAGACCTTGATTAGCTTGTTCAGGTGTGTTTGATTAGGGTTGAAGCAAAACTCTGCAGGGTTGCGGCTCTCCAGGACCGACGTTCGCACCCCTGCTATATATGTTTAGAACAGCCTTTGCACCAGTAACACACTTATGAAGTTTAAAAATAGTGTCTATGTAGGCAGCATACTTGAGTTTGCAACACAGTCAGTGTGATCTGAAGTAAGATAAGTTTGATTTAGTCTCATCTAGTTTAGTCTCATTATGCTGGTATTGCATCCCTCGTCTGCCTCGTCTCTCCCTCCTTCCATCAAATTCTTGAGATTTTCAGAGTTCCTTCCAAAAGGACAGTCTAGGGCACCGCGACTCTGTGGCCCATTAGTGATGAGGTGCTCAGACACAGAAAAGTCAGAGAGCAACATGGACAGTAAGGCCCAAAGTATACCTAAGTAATATCATGTTTTTAGCTACATACTATATATATATTTTATTTTATTTATTTATTAAATTTTTTGTCTGGAAACTAAAAAATGTACTAGCCAATGGCGATTCTATTGCCCAGACGTGTGTAAAGGGTTGATTCTACCGTATGTCTGCAGAGGATGAGAAGATTTATTTAGGGCAGAGAATCTGTGTCCTCTGAACAGACACCAACAGCCCAAACAATGGAAAGATGGAGAAGAAAAGTAAACAGGTGCACCTGTGTGTTTATGGGTTCATGCATGCTCACGTGTGAGTGTGTGTGTGTGTGTGTGTGTGTGTGTGTGCATGTTTATTTGGTTTATGAGGACACAAATTTGTATAATAACATGGGTATGACATAGGTATTACAACGAGAAGGGGATTTATGAGGACATTTTCAGTGTCCCCGTAATTCAAAAGGCTTATAAATAATTCAGAATTAGTTTTTTTGAAAATCTAAAAATGCACAAAGTTTCCTGTAAGGGGTAGGTTTAGGGGTAGGGTTGGTGTAGGGCAATAGAAAATACGGTTTGTACAGTATAAAAACCATTACGCCTATGGAGAGTCCCCATAAACCATTAAAACAAACCTGCGTGTGTGTGTGTGTGTTTGTACTCACAGGGGTAGAGTTGTTTAGTAGGAGCGCTAAGCTGTGCATCTTTTGTGACTCTGTAGGCGACATCAGGCCCTTTTGATGACTTCCGGTGTGTGCAGAAGCCTGTAGTTTTCGATACACCCTCCGGCAAACTGTGAAAATCTAAAATCTTTAGGAGATCGGCTGGCTCAGCTGCAGAGAGAGACACAGAGAAACGCAAAATTAGTTTACAGCTATTTCAAGTTACATATAAAAACCAACAATTGTCTCTCAGAAACTGTAACACATTTATACAGCTTTCACACTTTAACACATTCTATAATATATTATATGATATTATATTGTAGAAATTAAAATGTTTACTTTTTCTTAGGTTTTATTATTCTTTATTTTATAAAGTAATAGAATAAAATACAGTAAAATACATACATCTATACTGTAAATAATTTATCTTTACCATAAATCTAATTTTAAAAATGTATTTAGATTAAAATAAATTTTAATTATTATTATTGAATATATATTTCTATTCCTATAAGAAAACTGTTTATTATATTATATTATATACATTTTTATATTGAAAGAATTTATCAAATGAAAAAAAATTATGTATCCACTGAAACCTGATATATTTTTTATATTTTATATATATTATTGCAATTTTATTTTTATATTTTTACACATTTTTTATTTTTATTTTTATTAATTTTCATGATTAATTATTTACAAATATTTACATGATTTAGACAATAAAAGTTAAGGTATCTTTAAATAAATACATAAACACAAGAAATACATGCAATAAACACGTTTTTATTTAATTAAACATGCACTTAGCATACTATCATGTCAGTATGCATGCTGAAAACAGTATGTATTATATACTGTATACTGTGCAGTATATAATAACGCAGTAAACTAAGTCATCATGCCCACAAAACCACAAATCTGTCGTTAGCAACCTAAAGCACCAATAGAACGAGCGACCACAGCTCAAAAACCTAGCCAAGTGTTTCATGTGTTTAGAGGTCGGCTGACCATATACGAACACTGGATACCAGGCACGTGCACACATAGACATCAAAGGGGGCTTAAGCACCTGCCCTTTTTCTTCCTTGAAAGAAAGTGCCCTTTTTTCTGTTTTTTTTTTTTTAATGAATGAATATATGTATATATGTGTGCGTGTGTGTTACTGTTGCGCACAGCTTTCCCTGTCAAACGAATAAAAATATCAAAATATCAGGTCGGGTAGGGAAATGTTGCGACTTTCTCCCCTCCACGTCTCCGCAGCACAGCAGTGTAGCACACATTGATCGGCACATCATAGTCACAGTCAGGCAGGGAGCAGCAGAAGTGAAGCCCTCCCTCCCTTTCCAGTAGTGTTTGTCTTGGTGTGGAGGTGAGTGGTGATGAGCAAAAGACTAAGCTACCTGTGCCTCGAATTTACAGCTAATTATCCAAAAGGCAAAAGGCAAATATAGTTAATTTGTCTCGCTAACATCCATGACTCATGAGAGCTACCATGTAAGTTAGCTAAAGTTTAGCTAAGGCAATAGGAAGTCTAGGTTAGACCAGTTCGCATTTTTTCACTGCATGATTCAGTTTACTAAAATGCATTTAGAATGATCACAAAATTCAAGATATGGGGGCAGATATATATATTTCTGTCAGGACCCACTATCGTCAATATAACTTATGATTAGCATACATTTTAGGTTGGGGGAATGGTTCTGTTCTGGGCAAACACTCCCTGCCCATCCACGCAGCCTAGCATGGACAGGAGCAGGGAGAGCAGAACACCCCCCCCCTAGGGTAACAGAACAGAACCAACATCAATGATAAATGTAGCAGATACCATTAATGCTCTACGTGATTATTTTAACAACATGATTCAGTGGACTGACTCAATGATATATTCACTGCCAAGTCCTGACTGGACGAGAGGAGGAGCTGGGGATGGAGATGGGTGATTAGTTCCTGAGCGAAGCGATAGCTGCTGAATAATGACTGAAGGGACCTTATGAAGTGAATTATGATTGGTGTCGTGATCCTATAGGTAGACGTGGATCAGCTGATGCGATCTTGACTAACATGGCCTGCCAGAACTATCGCTACGCTCCATATTTATATAATTTAGGGCTGCCCTCGACAAAAGATTTTTCTGATCGACTAGTAGTCATTCATTTTAAGTATTAGTCGACTATTAGTCGCACTTTTATTAATAAACCATATAAATCATAATAATGAGCCTTTAATTGCCTACATAGCCTAATAAGTGCTCAAGCGCATGCAAAAAAAGGCTTGCCGCAGCACACCGGCAAATATAATGATTATGAATGTGTTAGGGAAAAACAGCAAGTACACTGCATTAACGTTTTAATAATTTATTGTTACACTAGTGCTTTCTGTTTTCAGTTTAAGAGATGAAGTCGGCGACACGGACTCGTAATCTCTGCAGTATGTGCCTGTATGCATGTTTCATACGGATTACATAATCTGAGAATATTTGTTTTCTATTTGAATTGTTTCATTTAAAAGCTTCACTCTCTATAGGTATATTTTTCATGTCTGTAATAAAGCAAGAATACACGGAGTTACGAAGTGACGCGCTCAAGTTCACAGACCGAGACGGCAGAAAGCGCATTCTGTTTGCTTGAATTATTTTACAAAAGCGCAACGTTTTGTTGTTATTCTGAGTGCACACGAATAAACGAGTCTTTACAGATACAAAAGATGCATTACTCTTATCTGTATGACCAAAAATTAAATCATAATAATGAGCCTTTAATTGCCTACATAGCCTAATAAGTGCTCAAGCGCATGCAAAAAAAGGCTTGCCGCAGCACACCGGCAAATATAATGATTATGAATGTGTTAGGGAAAAACAGCAAGTACACTGCATTAACGTTTTAATAATTTATTGTTACACTAGTGCTTTCTGTTTTCAGTTTAAGAGATGAAGTCGGCGACACGGACTCGTAATCTCTGCAGTATGTGCCTGTATGCATGTTTCATACGGATTACATAATCTGAGAATATTTGTTTTCTATTTGAATTGTTTCATTTAAAAGCTTCACTCTCTATAGGTATATTTTTCATGTCTGTAATAAAGCAAGAATACACGGAGTTACGAAGTGACGCGCTCAAGTTCACAGACCGAGACGGCAGAAAGCGCATTCTGTTTGCTTGAATTATTTTACAAAAGCGCAACGTTTTGTTGTTATTCTGAGTGCACACGAATAAACGAGTCTTTACAGATACAAAAGATGCATTACTCTTATCTGTATGACCAAAAATGACGAAGTATTTTAAGAGCAAATGATCGCACCGGCGCCTCCATCTGTCATGCAGTAGCCCAAGCGCGCTACTGTTCAGCTTCCACACTCCGCTGACACGTGAACTGCGCACTTTTTTCTAGGCTAACATTAGATTGAGCTGCCATGTAAAGTTGCTACTACATACACATTTCAGATGATAAGCCATATTTGAAGTCGATGAATGTTAGGTGAGCATATGGATGTCCTGCCCGATGTACTATATTACCACATAGACCAGCCGTTAACGATCTGTCCGTCATGGACTGCATGATTTCGCCACTTCGTGTGGATTTTTTTTTTCTGCGACTAAGCGATTAATGAAATTTTTATTCTAACGGTTAGTCGTCTATTAGGGGGCAGCTCTAATATAATTTCATATAGACTTTATACAGCAGTTCAATAAACAAGAAGTTAATATTAAGACACTTACGTTAGACACACTATTGACTGTTTTTGCTCTATTTCGCCAACAAATATAATTCCAATTTGCATCTCTGAGCAACATAACGGTGCTTCGTTCCTGAATGAATCAACTATTTAAATGATTCGGTTCAATCGCAATGACTCACTTATTCACAGTGACTTGCTGCCACCTACTGGCGGTTTTAATTTCACATTTAAAATATATTTTCTTTTTTTTTTTGTATAATTTCAAATATCAGTATTCAACATTTTATGTTTAAAATATCAAAACAGTATTAATGCGTTTGTAACTGCAGGTTAAAGCATTCATGTTCTGCTTTAAACAGTGTGTAAATGCATCTAAATGCCACTTCAGATGTAGCTTCTGTGTTTCCTTTGCATTGCAAAGATGAATTTTGTCAATACTGATTTCATTTGCTTGGTAACAGCCCAAATGACTTATTATTCTAATTGACTGATTCAAGTAAAAAATTTGACTGAGAAGATGATGCACACTTTTAGAAAAAATAGCTTTATAAAGGTAAAAATGCCCATAAAAGGTAATAATCAATTTAAACTTACTGGAAAATATTAATTTCTATCACTGCTGTGAACTGGTCACCACACAGAATATGCAGAATATCAAAAACTTTAGGAATCAGCTGTCCACGGTAGTCCTTATCAACCTTATCCTTATTAGATATCAGCACAATAACACACTCAGCAAAAATATTGTCTAATTATCGTTATTGATGAAATCCCAGAAAATATCGAGATATATTTTTTGTCAATATCGCACACCCCTAATATATTTAATGTTTTGTTTAGAAATTTTTTTTTTATAAATATGAGAAGTGCCCTTTTTTCCACTTGAGCCCCTGCCCCTCAAAATGTCTGTGCACGTCCCTGCTGGATACACAATAAAAAGAAATAATACATTTTTGTTAATAATATTTTTAAAAATATGTTAAATGTTAAAATAAAATAATAAATATTATAAAAATAAATATTACAAAAATTCTAAATATTATAAATAATTCTAAATACATATTATTTATTTAAAAAAATATTTATTATAATCTTGTTGCATTATGGCATTCCTGTAGCTCAAACAGTAGAGCATGGCATTATCAATGCTGCAAGGATTCAATTCCCAGGAAATGCATAAGTTTAATAAAATACGTACCTTGAATGCAAAGTAAGTTGTAATAGATAAAAGTGTCTTCCAAATGCATAAATGTAATTTCAAGGTATTAATAAAAGTTACAATAAAGTGCTATTCAACAAACTATAAAATGTTCAGGAATGACATGAAAGAAAACATAAAATAATAATGCACATTATGATTATACTCTAAACACATGCAACTGGTCTAAATAGCTAAATTATCAAATTAATTCACATTCAACACATAGACACATAACAATATAGAGCAGATTTTGCTGTTTGATGTTGTTTCCAGACGTTACCTCC